GTTGCAGAGGAGTGTAAAGGTTTACCTCTTGCACTTGAGGTTGTCGGCAAAACTCTAAGAAACAGTGAACTACATGTATGGAGATCAACTTCAGAATTCACAACACAATGATAGGGTATACTCAAGTATAGAGTTGAGCTACAACTATTTGGAAAGTGATGAACACAGGTCCTTGATTTTGCTATGCTCTCTTTTCTCTGAAGATGAGAGCATTCCAATTGAAAGTTTGGTTAGATATGCAAGAGGGCTAAAACTGTTTAAATATACTGAGACTTTATTGAAAACCAGAGATCGGGCGTATACAATCTCTGATAATCTAAAAAGTTGTCATTTGTTACTATCAGGTTTTAGGGAGGAAGAGGTCAAATTGCATGATGTTATCAGAGATTTTTGTTTATCGATTGCATCTAAAGGTGAATATAGGTATATGGTGAAACATGATATAAGGACAGAGTGGCCAGAGCATGATAACCATGATTCCTACGGTGCCATCTCATTAACATTTCAAGGGAGGGTTTTGCTACCCAGTAGGTTACAGTATGGGAACCTCGAGTTCTTACGGGTGCGACCTTATTGGACTGGAATTGGAAGGAAAATTGACATACCTGGAGGATTTTTCGATTATATGCAGGAACTTAAAGTTATTGATTTCTCTAATGTTCAAATTCGATCACCGAACCGACAGCCGCCAGGTCTTCGAACCCTGTGCTTGAACTACTGTACTTTAGAGATTGAAATATCATCCTTTGGAAGTCTAAACAAGTTGGAAATTCTCACCTTTTATCAATCTTCTCTCTCTATTGATTTTCTCCATAATGAAATGGTAGAACTTGGCAACCTAAGGTTACTGGATTTGAGGTTCACGGAAGGTCCCCGTCCACCTCCCCCTGGTTTTTTGTTCGGTGTGAAGAAACTGGAAGAGTTGTACTTGGGACGTTACTTCGGCATAAGATATGAAGTAAAAGAGCACGTCATCAAAGAGTTAAGTTCATTGAAGGATATCAACACTCTTCAGATTAATACAGATGATACTCGATTTCTGACGCAATTATTACAAGGGTGCTCTGAGAAGCTTGAGAAGCTGGAAAGATTTCAAATCTGCAAAAATAAGGGTTATCTTTTTGATCATTTTCGAAGGGAATTGCAGCTCCACGAAATTGACCCAAACATGCTTTTGGAACCCGAAATTAAGTCATTAATGAGAAGGTGTGACAAACTTTCTCTGGAAGTGAAAGGCTGGAACAATCCTATCATTGAATTAGTTGAAGATGGTTTCAGTAACTTGAAGAGTCTGAGGCTATTCTTTTTGGATTCTGAGTATCTTACTGATGCTGTGGGCTCCATTCCAAGTGGCATCTTCCGCAATTTGGAACTTATGTATTTGTTTGGTATGGATTATCTGAAAGAGATGCACAATGGAAATCTTCCAAGGATGGAACATGTGACAAGGGGTGTCTTGGAACCTGCAGTACTGTTCTGCAACCTCAAACAAATTTTAGTAACTAATTGTGCTAAAATTAAAAGAATGTTTCCTGAGTCAGTTGCAAAATGCATGGTTAATCTCCAAACACTTTTTATATCGTCATGTCCGTCGTTAGAAGAAGTTGTTTCAATGGACATGCAAGAAAATGAAATTAACGAACAGCCTTTGTTCCCAAAGCTGAAAAGAGTCGAGCTTCGTGATTTGAGTAGCTTTGTAAGCTTCAGATCTGAACCAAATGCAGTTGGTCCTCGTCAACCATTGCTCAACCAGGTAATGTATATATCATTCCTTTTGTATGCTTGCATCAATTCTGGAGAACAAGGAAAATTAGGAAAACTGATGTTAACTTCACTAATTTAAAATTCCATACTAGGATAGATGTAAAATCAATTAGAATCAGTTTTTGCAGAATGGCTTAGCTTTCTTAATCCGGGTGCAGTTATATATCATCTCAACTCATCTAGTCCTTGTTATTGTTGATCTGTTGATTAAGTTTTATGATGAGAACTTTGGTTGACACTATTAAGTGAATTTCACAGTTGAACTGCCTGACTTGGAGACGCTGGATATTTTCAAATTGGATATGAAAGAGCTACTAAGTGTGGGGGAAACGCCATTCAGATCTCCAAATAGATTGAGCATGAGAGTGGAATTTTGTGATAATCTAGTGAACATTGCACAATCCAATTTGATTAAACTATTGCGAAATCTTGAAACTCTAGAAGTACGTACTTGTCGGGCACTAAATGTAATATTTGACTTTGAGGGTCTAAATGTTAATAAAGATGCTGAAGAAGAAATTAGTATACTTGGTCAACTAAAATCATTCGACCTGGTGGGAGGAGATTGCTTGGTGCACATTATGAGGATGGTTCCTAAAGGAATCAATGTCTTCCAGAATTTGAAATGGCTTAAGGTGGCATCTTGTAACAGGTTGAGGTACTTATTCCCGGCTTCTATGATTAACTTGTTGGTGTCTTTAAAAACTCTATACGTCGGTTATTGTAGCGAAATTGAAGAAATCTTTGCGAGAGAAGAAGAAGAAGAAAGAACGTCTAGCGAAATTGTGTTTCCCGAATTAAGGAGAATAGAACTAATCGATCTTCCAAGGTTCAAAATATTTTGCTCTCATAACTATGAACTTGTGTTCCCTTCACTTGATCTATTGAGAATTCAAGCTTGCCCTGTGATGACAAAATTTTGTTCGGGACAGCTAAATGTGCCAAAGCTGAAGGGAGTACAAATAGGAAAAGACGAAGTCATTGACATTTCCAATTTCCTAAGATTGTGACGTAGGTATGTGGGTTTTCTACCATTTTATATAATTTACTCTTAACATATATGCTATAATAATATTGACTAGCAAATTAACATGCTCTGTTTTTCAGGTTTCGTCTAGAATCCACCTTCAAGTAGCTAGAATAGAAGACAAAGTAATCGTTGTCGGTTTGAAGGGTGGCCACGTCTCCAACGTCAGATTTACGTGGGAAAGGGTTGAGAGGGAGAGAATGAGGCTGCAGGGAAGGGTTGAGAAAGAGAGATGGAGAGAGAGTGGAGAAATGTGAAAGAGAGAATTAGGGTTTGTGAGTAAAAATATTTATTTTATAAAAATATTAAATAAAATAAAATTTCTGATTTTTGAAATGTTAAACTTTCCCATTATTTTAGAATTCAAAATTTTATTGCTAGGGTTTTGTGTAATTTTCACAATTTTTTTCATTTTTTATTTTGATAAAAAATTTAAGGAAATGGTTTACTTATTGCTTTATATGTGACTAAGAGTCCAAAAGATCTTAAATATTAATGCTGTCCATCTAAATTGGTTAAGAACCCAAAAAAAATTGAAATAACAAACTCATTGTTTCAGATTATCATGCAGCAAAAGATTGAAAACTTAAATCAAATTGCAATTTCGAACAAAAGATACGCATGTCAAATTCTGCAAAAAGAAAATAAATAAATAAAAACACATTCAAATTCTAAATCTTCAACTCAATTACATGAAGGAAAAAATTGAAATTTTCGACAATTTCTAGAGAAAATAACAAAAATTGCAGTTTGGTGCCGACAGTTGGTGAAGAGAGCCAAGTTCTTTGGAGCCGATGCATGCGTATGAGGTGTCGATGGTTGAGGAATAAAGCCCAGCTGTTAGGGACCTGTGTCAATGTGACGACGAGGGAAGCTGCTGGAAGGAAAACCCTTGATTTATTTTTGGCAATTGGCGAAGAAAGCCGAGTTCTTAGGATCCGATGTATGTGTGGTGTCGAGGTGCCGGGGGTCGGAGAAGACAGCCGAGTTCTTAGTGGCCGGTGTAGGTGTGATGGCGAGGATGGCTGACCCTTCATTTTTTTCTGTCCACTGCAATCTGTCTCAAACGGGAGCATTCTACAACCAAAATTCAATTTCAATAACACAATTAGACACCAAGAGATGACAATGTGAAACAGCATTCAAAAGCCCCTAAAAATTTTATGAATCCTATTTTTCTTTTTTGTACATGCTCAACAATAAAAACAGTGCAAAAAAATTAGTTAAAATTCACAAACTTCTCATAAAATGATTAAAAGGAAAAAACAAACACTGAGGTCATTGTAAATCCCCACGTTTTTGGACTCAAAAGTATTGTAGTGAATGAGATTAACAAACGCGATATGAAGTAATGAAGATCGCAACAAGAAACAAGATTTAAAAGTAAAGAAATTAACAAAGAGAGTTAATCGCAGAAGCACGACGTTTTCTTAATCGACAATATTGAAAGAAATACAAGAATTCAACAATTCTTATTTAAACAAAATTGAAAGAGAATACCACTATTTATAGGTACATGATATAGCGTAAAGATAGAAATAATGTGGAATAAGAAAATAATATATTTTCATAAAAATCATGTGAAATATATGGAAACAAATTTTTCCCACATGAAAATAAGGAAATAATTTATTTCCAAAAAAATTCATCCTATTTTAGGTCACAAACCCAACAATATCCATCTTGACCCAAATTTAGGTACAACGAATGAAACTCCAATATTTCAAATTCGTCTGCGTTGAAATAGCCAATATCTTCAACACAGTAACCAAAACTCTCCAAACCAAATCGTCGTCCTCTACGTGACGCCCACAAGCGACATATGAACCCAAATACTGGGTTTCCAAAATTTCACCAAGGAATAACTGTTGACAAAACAGGGTTGAAACACACCTTATAGCAGAAACCATACCAAATGCTTGAGCAGAAGGCCATTTGCTAGAATTTTCACCTTCAACGATCCTAAAGCATTACAGACATTATTGACACCATTGTACCTATGCTCCATGAGTCCAACCCTATCAATTGAAAACATTGTATCTGCTAAAATTGGTGACAAAGCGAAATCATCAATGCTCTTTTGAGCAGTGTTCTGAACCGACCAAGAGCCCATCACAAGAGTTATTGTACCAAACTGAATATCTACCATGGTACTGACTTGTCCCGATGTCTCTTAACTAGTTTTGTGCTTCCTTACAAGATGTATAACTGAGACCTTTTCTGTCCCTCTAGTATAATCAGGACACCCTTCCGAATTTTCAAGACTCCACCTTCACCAGAGAATTTATATCATTTTGCATCCAGAGTACTAAGTGATATGAGATTCATTTTCAGGTCTAGAACATGTCGAACTTAATCAATTGTTCTGACTGTCCCATCCCACAGCCTAAATCTAACTCGATTGATTCTAGTAATACGGCAAGACTGGTTGTTTCCCATTACAACTCCACCTTACTGAACAGCCTCATATGTCTGAAATATATTCATGCGAACATGCAGAATCGAGAATCCACTCTTCGTCAGGCCTAGATTCCACATCAAATACCACGATCAACATCACATCTCCACCGTCTGAAAAATCCTCAACTACATTTATTTCATCTGAAGTCAAAGGTTGCGTTCCATGATTTGCAACTAAATTACCTTTAGCCTGCAACTTATTATTTTGAAAGAACATATTTTGAAATAGTATATTGATGAAAAACATGCAGTTAAAAATTAAGGAAAAATCTTGAATTTGCGTGTAATATTATTTTATTAAAGAATGTGTGGTTAAAATGATGTGAAATTACCGTTAAAGAGTCTTTTAGAGCAAATTTTAATAATGGACTTGATTCTTTAATTTAAAATAAAAAGTATTGTATGTTTAAAAAATCTTTTGAAAATACTCTTTAAGTATATTGAAATAATGAATACATAACAGTATAGTAAAACATTTTCTAACCAATACAATATCACTAACTGCTTAGTATTGACACAACACATCAAATCTCGCAGTATTGCTATAAGACATAATGTTTTTAAAATCGGATCAGACGGGTCAGTTCAACTCAAAAAATCGGGAACCAGACTCAAATCTGGTCCGGTTACTATCCTAAACCTTCTACATAAAAACCCGTTTAAAAAACTGTTGAACCGGTCAATTTTTGTAAGACCCGCGACCTGTCATTGGTTCAATGGGTTAGAATTGAACCCTTAATTGAACAAAACCTTGTTTTCCCTTTTTCTCTCACCTTCCAACATTCAGGCTTCCACATGCGACCTCTCTCTTCTTCACTATCTCTTCCATATGCCTCTCCTTTTCAACCATAACAGAGAAATCTCATTCTTCTTCTATCTGTCATACCACTGAGATAGTAAACACCAACTTTTAAGGGAGCATCTTTCAAATTTCAAGCACATAATTTGTTGTTTACGTCAAAAATCCTCAAACATTATACAAGGTACTGTTGACCTGGGTTTCTGAGTTTTTTTTAGCAATTTTTATAACTTTGTCATGATCACTGTTGTGTGATTGGATAGAACTAACTTTACTTACTGAATTTGGTGGATCTGTGTTTTAATTCGAGTTTTTTTGTGGGTTATGTTTATTAGTCTTCCGTTGATATATATGTTTCTAAGGCTTTTGATTATATATTCTTATGCTTTGGTTGGTTGTTGAGGAAATATGATGTTGAAGGATGTGTCAACCACTTATCTTGAATAGCTCTCTTCACTGGTAATTTAGAAACTGAAATGTCTGTCATTTTTTAGAAGTCAATGTTTAATTTCTTATCTGGAAGATAATAACATTTAGTCTTTATTTTTGAATCTTTGACAATTTCCCTTTCAGTTTGATCAACTTGGCATAAACAACTACTTATTTATGAGCCATGTTTTCATTCTAGTAAGTGGGGCTTAGCTAAAATTGATATCTGAAACTGGCAATAAATGACAGGATGATAATTTAAAATAAGAAGTCATATGTAGACATAGAAACATATTTTGCGTGCTTGCTTTACATTATCATGTCAAGTATACTGTTGACTTGCTACCTAGTTCCATATTCATCTTTATATACTCTCATTTATTTCTCTATTATCTAGCAAAACTCTTTTATTAATGAAGAATCATGCAACACAGTTCCTCAGTTCATCTATGACTCCGTCCCCTTTACTCTTTATCCAAACATGGAAAATTCCCATATGATGAATATTTTGTCCAATAATAATGAACCGAAAGGAGTAATTCTCGGGTCAGATTTGCTGCACTTATGATCCAAATTTGCTAATCCTTAAAGTTTTGGAAATGTCGTTGTTTAATATCTAATACTCATCTAACTATAATACTTTTAATTGCTTTTATTTAGGAATAATTGCAATACTCAATCTTCGGAAAGTCATTCTATAGGTTACACTTTAATTATATAGAAGTTACCGGTTCGATCCCGGTTCAACCTTTTGATCCTTGACCTTTTCTCTTTTCCGGGTCAATGACCAGTCCGATTTTTAAAACATTGATAAAACTACGTGTTTCGAACTAGTAAATTTAAATGCCAATTGACATAGTAATTTGCGAGGTAAAAAACCATAATCACATTCACATGTTATTTACCAGATAACAACTGCTATGATTTTTCACAGCCATTCAACAATTATTGTTCTAACTCAAATTATAAGCAGTAAGTTCTCATTGATGGTTTCCCACTTCAACAGCTTCACTGCCTTAATTTTTCTCATCAAAATCATAGACTTGACTAAAGCTACTCGATGTTAACAAAAGGAAATCTATCACAAAAAGGAATTACAAGCCCACGTAGCAAATAATTTGTCTATCGAAATGGATACATTTAATCCACGATGTAGAATTATACAATGCTTCTTCAGCCAATTCACTTGCTTTCGATGTCAAATATATCTGTTCTAAACATATCTGTAAGGAAAACGAACAAAAGAACCAAGCAATTACAAGGAACAAGTCTGCACGATAAACAGTTTCTAAGTGTTGTATCTAACATGTAGTATGATTTTCTATGATGGGACACAAGAAAAAGAGGTTAACAAATTGACTATCAAACAAAATAAATGGTTTCTTCAGGCATAAAATTAACAAGGCAGCAAGGCATTGTATATGTTGAACTCAATTCGATGTGAATTTTCCATAAGCAAATTTTTAAACGGAATTCTCTAGAGCAGATCACTTGGAAATGTTTCAGAGGATTAGAAGATTAGATGCAACCAACCATATATATACACACAAACAAACAAACTCGATATTTATTGTAGATAATGAAGATTCCCTTCATATATCAAAAGTATGTGGATAGAAAACATTTTCCAGACCCTCATAATTTGCGAAACATCACATGCAAGTGCAAAATTTTCCAACAGAAAAACTATTCAGTAGATGAGGAAGGAAGAAATTTGCTGAATAAACATGTAGTTAGCAGAAAGTCATACACCTATCCATGTAGACAATGATTTTGCTATCAGAAGAAATATAACACTACTTAACTATTGACCATTGAATTTCATTTTTATCTCCATCTACATCTCCATGAAGACATTGATTTTGGCTCTGTTCCACAGATACTTCAATTAGGGTGGCGTTGCGTGTTGAACACAGGTCAGATACAAACACTTTTCGAACACTTTACCATGATCATTTTTAATTTTTTTTATTAGAAATATTATACATTTTTAACTCAAAAGTATTAGTAAATAAACAAATAAGTACTACTCGTATATAAAAAATTTGAACAAAAAAATTAATAATAAGTATAAAACTAAATTTATACTATATAAATGAAAATATGAAAGAATTCAATAAATGTGTAGTGACGATGACATATCGTATCAATGCTTTTTTGAAAAATTGTTTGTCGACATATCCAACACATGTCATGTCGTTGCATCATAGGATTTTGATATCATAAAAAATATAACACTACTTAAACATTGAAGATTAAATGTCATTTTCCTTTTACTATGGTTCTTCCTCGTGTAGTTAATGCTGACAACGGTACCACTTTCAAAATACTCCAAAATACTTCAAGTTCACCAAAAGTTTGAAATTACTTGAGGATATCGTCCGGTTAGATATTATATAGTGTTTGAGCCACATTATTTTGATAATAATGCATTCTTAAATAGTGTATTGATGGGAAATATATGGTTAAAAAATAAGAATTTTTTTTATTTGCGTTTAATATTATTTTATTGAAGAATGTGTGTGCAATTATCAGTGGATGGAGCAAAAAGAAATGCGTTAGTTATTAAATCAGGGGTGGATGCATGGCTGAAAAAGGTTGATGATTTAAAGAAAGAAGCTGATGAAGTTTTGAACAGCACAACAAATTCTGAAATGCGATGCCTATACCTTAGGTGTCCAAATTTGAAGACCCATTACTTGCTAAGCAGGAATGCCACAAAGAAGACTACGGCAATTGCTGAGCTCCAAGAAGAAGGTAAATTTGATGAGGTGGGTGTGCATGCACCACTAAAGTTGCTGTCTTTCCATGGATCTAAGGCTTTGAAGACAAGGATATCAACTAAGAAGAAAATCATAAAAGCTCTAGAGGATACTGATATCAGCATAGTTGGGATATGTGGCCTGCCTGGGGTAGGTAAGACGACAATGGCACAGGAAGTAATGACTCAAGTCAAAGGTGGATTATTTGATGAGGTTGCCATGGTAGTCGTTTCTAATGATGTAGGCATAATAAGAATTCAGGATAAGCTTGCTGATATGCTCGGTTTGAAAATTGATGAAAATGCAAATGAAATTGCTAGAGCTGCTCGACTTGCTGAAAGACTTACCTATGATAAGAAAAAGAGAATTCTAGTAATATTAGATGACGTATGGACAGATATTGATTTGGAGAAATTAGGAATTCCTTCATTAAATCGTCCTGAGGGGTTGAAAATTCTATTGACATCACGCTTTGAATATGTCTGCATACTGATGGGAGCTCGAAGGAACATTGAAGTTGGAGTTTTGCCTGGAAAAGAAGCTTTCTCTCTTTTTCAAGATGTGGCTGAGATTTCAAAGATTTCTAATGAACTGAATGACATAGCAAAACAAGTTGCAGAGGAGTGTAAAGGTTTACCTCTTGCACTTGAGGTTGTCGGCAAAACTCTAAGAAACAGTGAACTACATGTATGGAGATCAACTTCAGAATTCACAACACAATGATAGGGTATACTCAAGTATAGAGTTGAGCTACAACTATTTGGAAAGTGATGAACACAGGTCCTTGATTTTGCTATGCTCTCTTTTCTCTGAAGATGAGAGCATTCCAATTGAAAGTTTGGTTAGATATGCAAGAGGGCTAAAACTGTTTAAATATACTGAGACTTTATTGAAAACCAGAGATCGGGCGTATACAATCTCTGATAATCTAAAAAGTTGTCATTTGTTACTATCAGGTTTTAGGGAGGAAGAGGTCAAATTGCATGATGTTATCAGAGATTTTTGTTTATCGATTGCATCTAAAGGTGAATATAGGTATATGGTGAAACATGATATAAGGACAGAGTGGCCAGAGCATGATAACCATGATTCCTACGGTGCCATCTCATTAACATTTCAAGGGAGGGTTTTGCTACCCAGTAGGTTACAGTATGGGAACCTCGAGTTCTTACGGGTGCGACCTTATTGGACTGGAATTGGAAGGAAAATTGACATACCTGGAGGATTTTTCGATTATATGCAGGAACTTAAAGTTATTGATTTCTCTAATGTTCAAATTCGATCACCGAACCGACAGCCGCCAGGTCTTCGAACCCTGTGCTTGAACTACTGTACTTTAGAGATTGAAATATCATCCTTTGGAAGTCTAAACAAGTTGGAAATTCTCACCTTTTATCAATCTTCTCTCTCTATTGATTTTCTCCATAATGAAATGGTAGAACTTGGCAACCTAAGGTTACTGGATTTGAGGTTCACGGAAGGTCCCCGTCCACCTCCCCCTGGTTTTTTGTTTGGTATGAAGAAACTGGAAGAGTTGTACTTGGGACGTTACTTCGGCATAAGCTATGAAGTAAAAGAGCACGTCATCAAAGAGTTAAGTTCATTGAAAGATATCAACACTCTTCAGATTAATACAGATGATACTCGATTTCTGACGCAATTATTACAAGGGTGCTCTGAGAAGCTTGAGAAGCTGGAAAGATTTCAAATCTGCAAAAATAAGGGTTATCTTTTTGATCATTTTCGAAGGGAATTGCAGCTCCACGAAATTGACCCAAACATGCTTTTGGAACCCGAAATTAAGTCATTAATGAGAAGGTGTGACAAACTTTCTCTGGAAGTGAAAGGCTGGAACAATCCTATCATTGAATTAGTTGAAGATGGTTTCAGTAACTTGAAGAGTCTGAGGCTATTCTTTTTGGATTCTGAGTATCTTACTGATGCTGTGGGCTCCATTCCAAGTGGCATCTTCCGCAATTTGGAACTTATGTATTTGTTTGGTATGGATTATCTGAAAGAGATGCACAATGGAAATCTTCCAAGGATGGAACATGTGACAAGGGGTGTCTTGGAACCTGCAGTACTGTTCTGCAACCTCAAACAAATTTTAGTAACTAATTGTGCTAAAATTAAAAGAATGTTTCCTGAGTCAGTTGCAAAATGCATGGTTAATCTCCAAACACTTTTTATATCGTCATGTCCGTCGTTAGAAGAAGTTGTTTCAATGGACATGCAAGAAAATGAAATTACCGAACCGCCTTTGTTCCCAAAGCTGAAAAGAGTCGAGCTTCGTGATTTGAGTAGCTTTGTAAGCTTCAGATCTCAACCAAATGCAGTTGGTCTTCGTCAACCATTGCTCAACCAGGTAATGTATATATCATTCCTTTTGTATGCTTGCATCAATTCTGGAGAACAAGGAAAATTAAGAAAACTGATGTTAACTTTACTAATTTAAAATTCCATACTAGGATAGATGTAAAATCAATTAGAATCAGCTTTTGCAGAATGGCTTAGCTTTCTTAATCCGGGTGCAGTTATATATCATCTCAACTCATCTAGTCCTTGTTATTGTTGATCTGTTGATTAAGTTTTATGATGAGAACTTTGGTTGACACTATTAAGTGAATTTCACAGTTGAACTGCCTGACTTGGAGACGCTGGATATTTTCAAATTGGATATGAAAGAGCTACTAAGTGTGGGGGAAACGCCATTCAGATCTCCAAATAGATTGAGCATGAGAGTGGAATTTTGTGATAATCTAGTGAACATTGCACAATCCAATTTGATTAAACTATTGCGAAATCTTGAAACTCTTGAAGTACGTACTTGTCGGGCACTAAATGTAATATTTGACTTTGAGGGTCTAAATGTTAATAAAGATGCTGAAGAAGAAATTAGTATTCTTGGTCAACTAAAATCATTCGACCTGGTGGGAGGAGATTGCTTGGTGCACATTATGAGGATGGTTCCTAAAGGAATCAATGTCTTCCAGAATTTGAAATGGCTTAAGGTGGCATCTTGTAACAGGTTGAGGTACTTATTCCCGGCTTCTATGATTAACTTGTTGGTGTCTTTAAAAACTCTATACGTCGGTTATTGTAGCGAAATTGAAGAAATCTTTGCGAGAGAAGAAGAAGAAGAAAGAACGTCTAGCGAAATTGTGTTTCCCGAATTAAGGAGAATAGAACTAATCGATCTTCCAAGGTTCAAAATATTTTGCTCTCATAACTATGAACTTGTGTTCCCTTCACTTGATCTATTGAGAATTCAAGCTTGCCCTGTGATGACAAAATTTTGTTCGGGACAGCTAAATGTGCCAAAGCTGAAGGGAGTACAAATAGGAAAAGACGAAGTCATTGACATTTCCAATTTCCTAAGATTGTGACGTAGGTATGTGGGTTTTCTACCATTTTATATAATTTACTCTTAACATATATGCTATAATAATATTGACTAGCAAATTAACATGCTCTGTTTTTCAGGTTTCGTCTAGAATCCACCTTCAAGTAGCTAGAATAGAAGACAAAGTAATCGTTGTCGGTTTGAAGGGTGGCCACGTCTCCAACGTCAGATTTACGTGGGAAAGGGTTGAGAGGGAGAGAATGAGGCTGCAGGGAAGGGTTGAGAAAGAGAGATGGAGAGAGAGTGGAGAAATGTGAAAGAGAGAATTAGGGTTTGTGAGTAAAAATATTTATTTTATAAAAATATTAAATAAAATAAAATTTCTGATTTTTGAAATGTTAAACTTTCCCATTATTTTAGAATTCAAAATTTTATTGCTAGGGTTTTGTGTAATTTTCACAATTTTTTTCATTTTTTATTTTGATAAAAAATTTAAGGAAATGGTTTACTTATTGCTTTATATGTGACTAAGAGTCCAAAAGATCTTAAATATTAATGCTGTCCATCTAAATTGGTTAAGAACCCAAAAAAAATTGAAATAACAAACTCATTGTTTCAGATTATCATGCAGCAAAAGATTGAAAACTTAAATCAAATTGCAATTTCGAACAAAAGATACGCATGTCAAATTCTGCAAAAAGAAAATAAATAAATAAAAACACATTCAAATTCTAAATCTTCAACTCAATTACATGAAGGAAAAAATTGAAATTTTCGACAATTTCTAGAGAAAATAACAAAAATTGCAGTTTGGTGCCGACAGTTGGTGAAGAGAGCCAAGTTCTTTGGAGCCGATGCATGCGTATGAGGTGTCGATGGTTGAGGAATAAAGCCCAGCTGTTAGGGACCTGTGTCAATGTGACGACGAGGGAAGCTGCTGGAAGGAAAACCCTTGATTTATTTTTGGCAATTGGCGAAGAAAGCCGAGTTCTTAGGATCCGATGTATGTGTGGTGTCGAGGTGCCGGGGGTCGGAGAAGACAGCCGAGTTCTTAGTGGCCGGTGTAGGTGTGATGGCGAGGATGGCTGACCCTTCATTTTTTTCTGTCCACTGCAATCTGTCTCAAACGGGAGCATTCTACAACCAAAATTCAATTTCAATAACACAATTAGACACCAAGAGATGACAATGTGAAACAGCATTCAAAAGCCCCTAAAAATTTTATGAATCCTATTTTTCTTTTTTGTACATGCTCAACAATAAAAACAGTGCAAAAAAATTAGTTAAAATTCACAAACTTCTCATAAAATGATTAAAAGGAAAAAACAAACACTGAGGTCATTGTAAATCCCCACGTTTTTGGACTCAAAAGTATTGTAGTGAATGAGATTAACAAACGCGATATGAAGTAATGAAGATCGCAACAAGAAACAAGATTTAAAAGTAAAGAAATTAACAAAGAGAGTTAATCGCAGAAGCACGACGTTTTCTTAATCGACAATATTGAAAGAAATACAAGAATTCAACAATTCTTATTTAAACAAAATTGAAAGAGAATACCACTATTTATAGGTACATGATATAGCGTAAAGATAGAAATAATGTGGAATAAGAAAATAATATATTTTCATAAAAATCATGTGAAATATATGGAAACAAAATTTTCCCACATGAAAATAAGGAAATAATTTATTTCCAAAAAAATTCATCCTATTTTAGGTCACAAACCCAACAATATCCATCTTGACCCAAATTTAGGTACAACGAATGAAACTCCAATATTTCAAATTCGTCTGCGTTGAAATAGCCAATATCTTCAACACAGTAACCAAAACTCTCCAAACCAAATCGTCGTCCTCTACGTGACGCCCACAAGCGACATATGAACCCAAATACTGGGTTTCCAAAATTTCACCAAGGAATAACTGTTGACAAAACAGGGTTGAAACACACCTTATAGCAGAAACCATACCAAATGCCTGAGCAGAAGGCCATTTGCTAGAATTTTCACCTTCAACGATCCTAAAGCATTACAGACATTATTGACACCATTGTACCTATGCTCCATGAGTCCAACCCTAGCAATTGAAAACATTGTATATGCTAAAATTGGTGACAAAGCGAAATCATCAATGCTCTTTTGAGCAGTGTTCTAAACCGACCAAGAGCCCATCACAAGAGTTATTGTACCAAACTAAATATCTACCATGGTACTGACTTGTCCCGATGTCTCTTAACTAGTTTTGTGCTTCCTTACAAGATGTATAACTGAGACCTTTTCTGTCCCTCTAGTATAATCAGGACACCCTTCCGAATTTTCAAGACTCCACCTTCACCAGAGAATTTATATCATTTTGCATCCAGAGTACTAAGTGATATGAGATTCATTTTCAGGTCTAGAACATGTCGAACTTAATCAATTGTTCTGACTGTCCCATCCCACAGCCTAAATCTAACTCGATTGATTCTAGTAATACGGCAAGACTGGTTGTTTCCCATTACAACTCCACCTTACTGAACAGCCTCATATGTCTGAAATATATTCATGCGAACATGCAGAATCGAGAATCCACTCTTCGTCAGGCCTAGATTCCACATCAAATACCACGATCAACATCACATCTCCACCGTCTGAAAAATCCTCAACTACATTTATTTCATCTGAAGTCAAAGGTTGCGTTCCATGATTTGCAACTAAATTACCTTTAGCCTGCAACTTATTATTTTGAAAGAACATATTTTGAAATAGTATATTGATGAAAAACATGCAGTTAAAAATTAAGGAAAAATCTTGAATTTGCGTGTAATATTATTTTATTAAAGAATGTGTGGTTAAAATGATGTGAAATTACCGTTAAAGAGTCTTTTAGAGCAAATTTTAATAATGGACTTGATTCTTTAATTTAAAATAAAAAGTATTGTATGTTTAAAAAATCTTTTGAAAATACTCTTTAAGTATATTGAAATAATGAATACATAACAGTATAGTAAAACATTTTCTAACCAATACAATATCACTAACTGCTTAGTATTGACACAACACATCAAATCTCGCAGTATTGCTATAAGACATAATGTTTTTAAAATCGGATCAGACGGGTCAGTTCAACTCAAAAAATCGGGAACCAGACTCAAATCTGGTCCGGTTACTATCCTAAACCTTCTACATAAAAACCCGTTTAAAAAACTGTTGAACCGGTCAATTTTTGTAAGACCCGCGACCTGTCATTGGTTCAATGGGTTAGAATTGAACCCTTAATTGAACAAAACCTTGTTTTCCCTTTTTCTCTCACCTTCCAACATTCAGGCTTCCACATGCGACCTCTCTCTTCTTCACTATCTCTTCCATATGCCTCTCCTTTTCAACCATAACAGAGAAATCTCATTCTTCTTCTATCTGTCATACCACTGAGATAGTAAACACCAACTTTTAAGGGAGCATCTTTCAAATTTCAAGCACATAATTTGTTGTTTACGTCAAAAATCCTCAAACATTATACAAGGTACTGTTGACCTGGGTTTCTGAGTTTTTTTTAGCAATTTTTATAACTTTGTCATGATCACTGTTGTGTGATTGGATAGAACTAACTTTACTTACTGAATTTGGTGGATCTGTGTTTTAATTCGAGTTTTTTTGTGGGTTATGTTTATTAGTCTTCCGTTGATATATATGTTTCTAAGGCTTTTGATTATATATTCTTATGCTTTGGTTGGTTGTTGAGGAAATATGATGTTGAAGGATGTGTCAACCACTTATCTTGAATAGCTCTCTTCACTGGTAATTTAGAAACTGAAATGTCTGTCATTTTTTAGAAGTCAATGTTTAATTTCTTATCTGGAAGATAATAACATTTAGTCTTTATTTTTGAATCTTTGACAATTTCCCTTTCAGTTTGATCAACTTGGCATAAACAACTACTTATTTATGAGCCATGTTTTCATTCTAGTAAGTGGGGCTTAGCTAAAATTGATATCTGAAACTGGCAATAAATGACAGGATGATAATTTAAAATAAGAAGTCATATGTAGACATAGAAACATATTTTGCGTGCTTGCTTTACATTATCATGTCAAGTATACTGTTGACTTGCTACCTAGTTCCATATTCATCTTTATATACTCTCATTTATTTCTCTATTATCTAGCAAAACTCTTTTATTAATGAAGAATCATGCAACACAGTTCCTCAGTTCATCTATGACTCCGTCCCCTTTACTCTTTATCCAAACATGGAAAATTCCCATATGATGAATATTTTGTCCAATAATAATGAACCGAAAGGAGTAATTCTCGGGTCAGATTTGCTGCACTTATGATCCAAATTTGCTAATCCTTAAAGTTTTGGAAATGTCGTTGTTTAATATCTAATACTCATCTAACTATAATACTTTTAATTGCTTTTATTTAGGAATAATTGCAATACTCAATCTTCGGAAAGTCATTCTATAGGTTACACTTTAATTATATAGAAGTTACCGGTTCGATCCCGGTTCAACCTTTTGATCCTTGACCTTTTCTCTTTTCCGGGTCAATGACCAGTCCGATTTTTAAAACATTGATAAAACTACGTGTTTCGAACTAGTAAATTTAAATGCCAATTGACATAGTAATTTGCGAGGTAAAAAACCATAATCACATTCACATGTTATTTACCAGATAACAACTGCTATGATTTTTCACAGCCATTCAACAATTATTGTTCTAACTCAAATTATAAGCAGTAAGTTCTCATTGATGGTTTCCCACTTCAACAGCTTCACTGCCTTAATTTTTCTCATCAAAATCATAGACTTGACTAAAGCTACTCGATGTTAACAAAAGGAAATCTATCACAAAAAGGAATTACAAGCCCACGTAGCAAATAATTTGTCTATCGAAATGGATACATTTAATCCACGATGTAGAATTATACAATGCTTCTTCAGCCAATTCACTTGCTTTCGATGTCAAATATATCTGTTCTAAACATATCTGTAAGGAAAACGAACAAAAGAACCAAGCAATTACAAGGAACAAGTCTGCACGATAAACAGTTTCTAAGTGTTGTATCTAACATGTAGTATGATTTTCTATGATGGGACACAAGAAAAAGAGGTTAACAAATTGACTATCAAACAAAATAAATGGTTTCTTCAGGCATAAAATTAACAAGGCAGCAAGGCATTGTATATGTTGAACTCAATTCGATGTGAATTTTCCATAAGCAAATTTTTAAACGGAATTCTCTAGAGCAGATCACTTGGAAATGTTTCAGAGGATTAGAAGATTAGATGCAACCAACCATATATATACACACAAACAAAC